GGTTCCCTTTTGTTCTAAATCCCATGAGGATAATATGAAGTGACTCCATATCTGTCATATAAACTCCAGTTACTTTATTAACATTTCTATTTGCTCTGAGACACTATTAAAGGTACAGCAGGATTACACCTATTCGACCTTTCCCTAGAGGAAGAAAGTCAAGTGTGCTTCCTCCACCCACTGTTGTGGCTCTGGCCAGTGAATTGAGGCTGACCCAAATGTTTTTTAAACCTAAGTGGGCATTTCCTAAAACACTTGAAGTTTTCTTACGTCCTCCCTAATATTCAAATCATCATGCTTTGAGCTAGCATCATTCCTGTAGTTTCTGATAATCTCCTTGGTAAGTTAAGTGTATTGGCAATGAAACCATGGTCTGAACTGTTAGGGATGGCAGAACTAGAAGTCAAGTGAATTAACTCACTTATGCCAATCTGAGAAATCCCCACAAGGATCTTGGGGGATTTCCAAAGATAAATAAATAAATAAATAATCCTAATACTTCGCCCTGTTCCATATCTTCCAGGGCATAAGATGTTTTTCTATAGATTAAGGGCTCTTTCTCTTTCTCTACCTCCTCCACAAAATCTGGTGTCAATTTCTAGCAACTATAATTTCACCATTTTTTCAAGTGTTCTTTAGCCAAACCAAAGCTCTTTGTCTGAAAACATCACATTTAAAATAACACAGACATTTAAATAAAACATAACCAGAATTCACTTTGAGTCCTCTGTTTTCCAATTTTTTAAATTTATTAAAACTGATACATAGAGGCATAAAAATTGTATACATGTTCAGGGCACCCTGTTGTGCTTTGATACATGTATATATTATATAATACATAAATCAAGTTAAACATATCAATTAGGTCAAACATTTATCATTGCTTTAGGGTGAATACATTAAACATCCTTGCTTCAAACTTTCTGAAACATAAAGCACATTTCTATTCTCCTTTTTATTAGGCTGTAATTTGGAATATGTGCAAATTTGGTGGTTGAGTTTGCCATAAATTGAAGGAAATACATGTTATGCTTGGAAATGGTCAAGATGGAATCCTGAAATTTCCTTTATAATCCTGTGTCATCCTTCCTTCTTGTTATCATGATAATTGCAAAGGAAACAACCAAAAGGACGGAGTCTTTTTTTTAGGAAGAACCACATTCAATGACTGCATTGCATTCCTAAAATGTATAGATGAGGAGGAGTTAAGGGAGGCAGAGGCAGTATGAGAACATTTTCTGATCACTTTTAAAATAAAAGAGCCATTATTATCTAATCACAAGTAGTCCGGAAAGTCAAACACATGACACAGATTAAAATTCAGCCACACAACTGTGTGACTTGGATTATGTGTTCAATAATCTGAATAAGATCAATAGTGGTACTATACTACTGGTAGCCCTGAGAGGAGGTCTACAGTTCAATTGCTTTTTAAAGCTAAGTGGGTATTTCCAAAAGGGACAATGGGCAACGCCATTGTGAATGCATACCTCCCCCTTCTCCACTATTGGTGGGAAACACGTCATCTGTGGGCATGAGTCACAGCCTGACATGCAGTGGGTTCTCTGTATTAGGAGCACAGTCAGGCTGACTAGCAGCTTGATTCTAACCACACCAGAGAGCAGGCCATTACCATGGGCACCTTCATGAGTAATCAGGATGGTTAAATTGCTAGTCATAATTTTGTTCAGTCTGGGGCGCCCAAAAGAGTCATTCAGCCTGCTAGTCTGTAGTTTTCCTATCTGCAGACTAAAACCTAGAGTACTGGAAACAACATAGGAGTAAAATGGGTTTTTTGGCTTGAGTGCAGCCATCACTTCACCAGGCTGAGGTGTCTAGGGAACACTCGGTGTGAAGTTTGCTTTAGGTAACTGTTTAGGTGATAAGATTTTACCTAGAGGATTAGTTGCTATTTTTTTCATGTACGGTAGTGGGATCTCCAGGTGTAGATCAACTGTCTCCTTAGATATTCTGTGTAAGATGAGGTTCAATCAGGAAATAGAAACAACACAGAGAATTAAATGTGAGAAATTTAATATAAAAATCACTAAATACTGATAAAAAATGTGATGATAAGATACAAGGAAATTGTCTAATACTGTAAGGATCAGAGAAAGAGTCTAGAGAAGAATAAATTTGGAAGGTAACTCCCTCCCCAAGGCTGTGATTCTGGTTTGGCCACTAGACAGCAGAGAAATTTGTCTTTTTTTTTTTTTTTTTTTAAGACTACAGCTGATCTGTAGTTGCAGAGTACAGGGAAAGTATTCAAGTATTGGAAACTGTTGATGTAAGTATGCAGAAAGTGTGAGGTTCTAATGTACAGGTGAGTGCCTGCTGATCTGCAGAGAAAGGAAGAGTGGATGTATAAATCGGCAGAGAGAGTGGTAGCTCAGTGGGAACCCTCTGGAATGGAGTCAAAACACATGTATGCCTTAAACCTGTGAGAGTGGAGAACAACTGAGTGGTCATAGTGTGGGTCTTGATAATAACCCTCTGAAATTCAGTCTGTAGAGGGAATGGAAGCTCTTGAGATACTGGTTTCCATCTTTAAAAGTCAGAGGAAGGTTGTTGGCAGGTCAAGCAAGTCGGCTGAGGGACCCTGTGTTCTATATGTGTGGCCGAGGAAGAGCTTCACCCACAGTCTCCTCACTCACACATTGACCTACTTGCCAACAGTCCCTCTCGTGTCCTTTACCCAGTAAACTTAACACCATCCACTCTACAAAAAGAAGAAATGCTTAAAGAAATTTCAGTTTACTCTCCCACAATTTATATGGAAGGATAGAATTATAACTGAGAGACAATAAGTTGATAATTAGAATCTATAACAAGACTTTGGAGGCCCTTCCTACATTTTAATTACTGAGTTTAAATTCACTAGCAATAATATGGAAATATCAGAAAATCAAAGGATCACTAAGGGTTAGGTACTCCATTTTAAGAAGAGCACAATAGCAACCTGATAGCTGCTTTTTAAAAGTGTTGGCTTGTTAGTGAGAATACAACTCTAAAACTACCACAGATGAATGAGTGGGAAAGATCACTTTCCGTGGTCAAATTGTGCTGAAAATTGAGTGCATATTTTATTATTAATGTCACACACTCTCACACACACACACACACACACACACACACATACACATACAAACAATACCCAGACCCATCATGTCTTTGATGTTAAAATCAAGTTCAAGTAATACAAAAGGAAATATTTCTTTTAAATAATATATTTGAATATTAGTTATCTGGCTTTTTGTTTAGAAAACACGACAATTGAAATGAAAGAAATAGGAAATATTTAAGCATAAGATACCAATCACTGTACGAAAGCAGTTTCTGTTTTCAAAACAATGTCAACTATAAAATTTGTGTTTTTATCACAGTGTGATAAAATAGTGAGATTTTTCATGGGCAAACTGTCATCTACATAGGTAATGAAAAATGTTTTCAAGTCCAGATCTGCACCAGTACTTTAAAAACAGTTTTAACGTGACAGTGCAGCTCTGCTATAGGTTAGAAGCAGTGGTTTTCTTAGAAGTTTTAATTTATCTTGTAAGAGAAGAGTAGAGACTCTTCCTTGCACATAAAAAGTTAAATAGAGCAAATTCACTGAATTCCAAGCATCACAAATTGCAAAAGATTATAAAAAGTATTTATGTCTGCATTTGTATTTATTTATTATGTTTTGAAAACTTTTCACATTTTTTTCCTTTAATTTTTATTGTTGGTTGTTCAAAACATTACATAGTTCTTGACAAATCATATTTCACACTTTGATTCAAGTGGGTTATGAACTCCCAATTTTACCCCGTATACAGATTGCAGCATCACATCGGTTACACATCCACTGTTTTACATATTGCCATACTAGTGTCTGTTGTATTCTGCTGCCTTTCCTATCCTCTACTATCCACCATCCCCTCCCCTCCCATCTTCTCTCTCTACCCCATCTACTGTAATTCATTTCTCCCCCTTATTTTTTTTCCCCTTTCCCCTCACTTCCTCTTGTATGTAATTTTGTATAACCATGAGGGTCTCCTTCCATTTCCACGCAATTTCCCTTCTCTCTCCCTTTCCCTCCCACCTCTCATCCCAATTTAATGTTAATCTTCTTCTCATGCTCTTCCTCCCAACTCTGTTCTTAGTTACTCTCCTTATATCAAAGAAAACAATTGGCATTTGTTTTTTAGGGATTGGCTAGCTTCCCTCAGCATAATCTGTTCTAATACCAATCATTTCCCTGCAAATTCTATGATTTTGTCATTTTTTAATGCAGAGTGATACTCCATTGTGTATAAATGCCACATTTTTTTTATCCATTCGTCTATTGAAGGGCATCTAGGTTGGTTCCACAGTCTTGCTATTGTGAATTGTGCTGCTATGAACATCGATGTAGCAGTGTCCCTGTAGCATGCTCTTTTTAGGTCTTTAGGGAATAGACCAAGAAGGGGAATAGCTGGGTCAAATGGTGGTTCCATTCCCAGCTTTCCAAGAAATATCCATACTGCTTTCCAAATTGGCTGCACCAATTTGCAGTCCCACCAGCAATGTACAAGTGTACCCTTTTCCCCACATCCTCACCAGCATTTGTTGTTGTTTGAATTCATAATGGCTGCCAATCTTACTGGAGTGAGATGGTATCTTAGGGTGGTTTTGATTTGCATTTCTCTGACTGCTAGAGATGGTGAGCATTTTTTCATGTACTTGTTGATTGATTTTATGTCCTCCTCTGAGAAGTGTCTGTTCAGGTCCTTGGCCCATTTGTTGATTGGGTTGTTTGTTCTCTTATTGTCTAATTTTTTGAGTTCTTTGTATACTCTGGATATTAGGGCTCTATCTGAAGTGTGAGGAGTAAAGATTTGTTCCCAGGATGTAGGCTCCCTATTTACCTCTCTTATTGTTTCTTTTGCTGAGAAAAAACTTTTTAGTTTGAGTAAGTCCCATTTGTTGTGAAATATCCACAGATCCCAAACCCGGAATGAACCACACGAGACACTGGCTGCAAAAAGCAGGAGGCGTTTATTCTCACACAGGCGCCTGCGGGTGCACAGCAAAACCTCAGCCGGAGCTTCGGTGAACTGGCACACCGGGCTTTGGGGTATAGATCTTTTATAGGGAACAGGTGGGTTAGGTCTTAGCTTAGCACAGCAACAGCCTTCCTATTGGTCCCTCTGAATTCAGCAGTTGAGTCACCTAGGGGGGTAAACTTGTTTTCCCACTTTAGTTCTCAGAAAAACCATAAAATTGCATCCTGTCCTTTTAGTTCCTGTTTTTACCCTGTTTGCTCAAGTTTGGCCCTTCCGGGGTTATCTATATGGAACATCTTGTGGTAACATTGTGCGAGACTTGAAGTGCTACGTGCAGCTGGTGGGGTTTTGACATGGGGGTTGGGTAAGGGAACATCTTGCAGCTTCAGGGCACAGGGGTTAGTTTTCCTAATGTTGGGCCTGGGGCCTTGGGGTCCTTCATTCCCCCCTTTTTTTATATCATGGATATAATCTTATATCCATTGACCCATCTGCTCGGATTCCAGCATTATTTCAGCTGACGGCTCAGCATACTGGTTGGGGGTTGGTATTTACTATTAATCTAATTTTGAATAGGACCCCAGGGTCATAGGCAGTTTTATGATATACTCTCAGGCCCCATTGTTTTCCTTTTATCTAATCTTTTGATGCTTTGCCTGCCTGAGTAAAGGTAATGTTTAAGGGGTTGCAGGCAAATGCGGTACATGGCCCTGCCCCGTACCATTTCAGGCTCCTGCAAGAGTCGGCAGAAAGTGGGGGATCCTGTTTTTTTTTTTTTTTTTTATTTGAATTAAATCCTAAGATGAGCTTGGCTTCTACTATGCATCCCCCGTAGTTTTATATCCCCAAGACTTACAATAGTAACTTTCATGTTGTCCACATTTTTGTGCCTGCGACTTAGTTTTCAGGCCCTAGGGTAGGCCATCAAGCCCAAAGGGGGTATTTTGCGGATTTTCTTTTTTTTTTTTTTTAAATTATATTTCTTGTCCCCGATAATACTTGTCATGTCTGGCTCACAGATTGGTTGGGGTTAACTGATATGGGGAAGACACAGCACAAAGCAAGAAAAATCAACAGCGAGTGAGTCTTATCTTTAGCGGATTTTGGGTACGTTGCAACTTCCATTCTGGATCCGGAGAGGTGTCTGCGGACTCCTGTGGATGTGCAGTCTTCACGTGGGAAGCATGGATCTAAGCAGCGATGCCGTCCACTTTGAGTGCAGTAGGAGTGGTCAGCAGGATAGTGTAGGGTCCTTTCCACCGCGGTTCGAGGTTCCTGCTCTGGTGCCTGCGTACCCAGACGGTATCTCCGACCTTGAAGGGATGTGGCAGCAAGGGGGTTTTAAGTTCCTCTTTGTATGCTGCGGCTAGAGGCTTCCAGACCTCGTTCTGGACCAATTGCAAAGCATGCAAATGAGTCTGCATAGATGGGGTGAGGGAGGCATAGGTTTTAGTTTTATAAAAGTTAATAGCGGGAGGTGGGGCACCGTACAGGATTTTAAATGGGGTTAGTCCATGTGGGCCTGGGGTGTTTTGGGCCCCATACAAGGCTAAAGGTAGGAGTTGTACCCAGTCTCTAGTGCCAGTTTCAAGTGTCAATTTAGTTAAAGTCTCCTTAATGGTTCTATTTATCTTTTTTACCTGTCCTGAACTTTGGGGTCTATAACCATAATGTAATTTTTAATTAATCTCCAATGTATTGGCTACTGCCTGACTTACCTGGGAGACGAAGGCAGGACCATTAAATGTTTCCTTTTTGGTCCTCATTATCAGGATCAAAGGGAGTAAACCTCCGATAAGCCTCTTTTAATTTCTCTAAGAAGGCTGTCGGAGTTTCCTCTGACCCCTGGATAGTCTGTCTTACCTGAGCCAAATTGGTGGGCCGTCGCCCTGCTCCATGGAGACCCCCCTGCTCCATGGAGACCCGCTATGAGTAACTGGCGATAGAGATGTAGGTGGTTCTCACCTGCTTCAGTCGCATAGTCCCAGTTTGGCCGGGTTAAAGGAAAAGCTTCGTTAATCAAATTTGTGAGTTGGGTGGGGCGCCCGTCGTCCCCTGGCACATTTTTGCGAGCTTCCAAAAGAACCTTTTGTTTCTCCTCTGTGTCTAATAGAGAAATCTTTAATTCTGCTACTTAGGGCTGGATAACCATATTAGCAAACATCAAGTCTACCTGTGTTGTCTAGAAATAAAAGCCTTAGACTAAAACTATTCTAGTAGTTCCTTTGACAGTTATCAGGCATTTCTGTCTAAGAATCTCTCTTGTAGCCTCCAGTCTATTTATTTATGGAAGTTACATTTAATTATTATTATCATTTAAGATGTCCAGGAACAGCTGTGCTTTGGCTTTGACTGTCTTTGCTAAGTGTTTAAGATGAAGCAAGTCAAACTGACTTTTGTTTCTACCTATTGTTTACAGTCAGCTGAGTTATCCTGGGAGTCCTCGGGAACTTCATAGCAGCTTTTCAGTTCTGCTAGTGCCATTTGCGCTAGGATGGGTCCAGGCCTTGTTTGACCATATGGCTTCCCTCAGAAGCATCAGGGATGTCTCCCTTTTTTAATGACCCTCCTCTTTACAGCAAATGCACCATTTGGCTTTCTGTCCTCCACTGGTCTCATTAATCTCCCTGCTCAGGAGGTTATGTGGCCTAGAGTTGCTGAGCCCTTTGGAGAAGTCCCCTATTCCCTGATTCAGACTGACTCAGAGGGCAAGAGCCAAATATTGGTTTTCTTGGCCCTTTTAATTTAACTAATTTTAAAAACTTGATCTTAAACATCCAGCAAATAAGTTAACAGCCTTATATTAAGAGCACTGGGCTTTAATGTCTATCTCTCTATCCTGTAGGTGATAACTCTTTATCTTATGTTGACCCAGGTTGTGTTCTTAAAGCAATACCTCTTTAGAATATTAATAGGCAATCCTTAAACCATCTATAAGCAAACTACAAAACAAAACTAACTAGGGTAAAAACATATTTAGCTTATATAATAGCTACCTTGAATTCTGGCAGGGTTATACATCATAATTTCCTGTTTGAGATCCTAGTAATCTTGGCAAAAACCTACTTTTGGACACAACTTTAACTGTACTGAAATCTGGCTTACTTTTTTTCATAGCCATTTTCACATGTAGTGAGATGGGACAGAGCCTTATCTCAAGTAAGGCAGGGCTCTTTATAAATCTCAAGTACTATAGTTCTGAAGCTGATCATTTTACAAAGTTTACATAAATTGTTGTTCAAGTTTACATGAACATTAGCTAACACAACATAATATCACACCTAAAATATGAATTAAAGGCTGAAAGCTTTTAACCTCTTGTAGAAAAGTAGTAATGTACTTTTGTGTTTTGCAATAAAACCTTCACACAGATTAGGCTCTTATTAACTTAAAAATACATAAATTGTATCTTAGAGTAGAAAGTAACATGGAACTGTACATATCTTATTGATAACAAGTTCAGTTATAGAACACAAATGATATAATTGAATTTCCAACATTTTTTTTAAGCCTAAAATTACCATACAACTTTAGAACACCAGCTTGATATAATGTTCTTTTGAAGCTTCTACCTTACAGACTTGTATACCTGGAAGATATGAACACATTAATAACACCATAATTACATAAACCTCCTTTTGTTCACATTTTGAAACAATACTTGTAAACTTTTAAATTTAAGCAGAGTTAACATTTTATTAGGGCCTTTTTGAACACCTAGAGAAACTTATAAGCTTAATTTTGAGGACATTTTTACTTTTATCTGTTTACCCAATCTAAATTGAACCGTTTGAATCACGTGAATTAAAGATATTTGGATCTATTTTTAATTTTTTTTTTTCAGGCTACCCAGTTCAAAATTGAAACTTTTAAAATTTTTTATCCCAAGTATTTAAGTTTTCTAGCATGAACTATCTGAAATCAAACTAAACAATTGCTTAAACCCAACTTTTAACTGCAAGATAGTGCAATGCTTTAGAAACCCATTCAGATACCAGATTGTTACAATAAAAAATTATTATTATTTATTTTTTAGACACATATTTAACCTAGATTATCCCTAAGAAACAATTAGACAACCAGATAAGAAAATATCTCTCCAGGTTTTGAACTTTCATTTAATTATGACTCCCATCAGTGGCACCATAGATTTTCCTATGAGTGGACCAGATGTTTTCACGTAGGGGCAACTATAGGTGTAAAATCAAGGGTCTCAGTGTGACTGGCTTTACTGCATTCAGTGTCCCTTCTTTTTAAGTAAACAGAGGTTAAGTAAACAGATCCTTAAGATGTAGATAAGGACCCAGGGAACTCCCCAGAGCTAAATGGCTCTGGCAGCTGCTGGGAGTCCCTTAATCCTATCTTTCACCCACAGGATCAGTTCCTCTAGTTTAGGTATTTTTTTTTTCTAACTTGTTAGTAGCCAGCTCCCAAAAAGTCCATCCTCTGCTTGCAGTTGTTTCGAGTGCTAGGCTTCCCCAAGAAAGCAGAGTGGGAATTCCTTAAAAGTCCCCTTGAGAGTGTCAAAATTTGTGACTGAAAATTTGGTTCCCATCTCTAAAGCCAATTAACATTAATTTAATAATGAGGACAGGGCTTTGAGAAAAGTCAAAGCGAGATGTCAAAGTTGTTAAATCCCCAGCAGGCATCTCTATTTGCACTCAAGCCGGTTATGGGGGGGGGAAGAAAACATTGCTTCCCTAGTCTCAGTATTCAGCCTTAGATAGAATTTATCATCCGCCTTGGGCTGCATTTCCAAGCAGCCCGACTCCAGGAAGACCCGCTCGCTTTCTGGGGTGGAGGGGCCGGGAGGAACAGGGACGGGACAGATCCGCCATACCGCCGGGTGGAATCCTCCCGGCGGACTGCGTGGATCCCACCCATGCAGGAGGGGATTCGCAGAGGTCCTGAAAGGTTAAAAGCCATGATCTGGATGGCCATGCGGCCCCGGCTGAAAGACAATCTCTGACTTTGCAAATTAGAGAGAGAGATGGAGGGACTCTCCTGGGGGCCATTTAACTTCGAGGGTGGGCCAATATTGGCCACTCCGTGGTACAGAGTGTTACCCATTTTTTTCTTTTTGACTGCCACGGACAGGTTGTCTGCCCGATCTTGAACGTCTTGCCAATGATCTAGAGTTAGGCTCAAAGGGGTTGTTAGTGATTGTCCCATGTTATTCTCAGAGAGGAAATAGAGAGACAGACACAATGACACAAAAACGAAACCAAACAGTGAGATCGCTGCGCGGCTTCGGTGGAAACCGAACAAATCAGATGGCCTGGGAGAAGTTTGTACTTCTTTGTCGCCTACAAAAATGGTGTAACCCTCGGAAACACCGGGGGCCCCAAAGAAATGGACCCTTCTGATCCCTGGGACGTCTCCCAGGGTGGCAGGGGAGAAGTCCGAGTTCGTCAACTCCTTCTCAAGCTGCCTCAGAATACTAAATGACAGAACTGCCTCAGAATACTCAGAATACTAAATGACTATGCCTAGGATCATATAGTCTTACAGATGCTGCGCGGAACAAAGAACAGATAACCAACAGGACAACAAGACAGTCAGTTTGAGCTGGCCAGCTTACCTCCCAGTGATGTCGGGTGTCCTCCGGATAGGGACCGGGATGGGAACCGGAACCGGGATCTTGGATCTCGGTGGAACCTCCACAATGAAATATCCACAGATCCCAAACCCGGAATGAACCACACGAGACACTGGCTGCAAAAAGCAGGAGGCGTTTATTCTCACACAGGCGCCTGCGGGTGCACAGCAAAACCTCAGCCGGAGCTTCGGTGAACTGGCACACCGGGCTTTGGGGTATAGATCTTTTATAGGGAACAGGTGGGTTAGGTCTTAGCTTAGCACAGCAACAGCCTTCCTATTGGTCCCTCTGAATTCAGCAGTTGAGTCACCTAGGGGGGTAAACTTGTTTTCCCACTTTAGTTCTCAGAAAAACCATAAAATTGCATCCTGTCCTTTTAGTTCCTGTTTTTACCCTGTTTGCTCAAGTTTGGCCCTTCCGGGGTTATCTATATGGAACATCTTGTGGTAACATTGTGCGAGACTTGAAGTGCTACGTGCAGCTGGTGGGGTTTTGACATGGGGGTTGGGTAAGGGAACATCTTGCAGCTTCAGGGCACAGGGGTTAGTTTTCCTAATGTTGGGCCTGGGGCCTTGGGGTCCTTCAGTTGATTCTAGTTATTAACTCTTGTGCTATGGGTGTCCTATTGAGGAATTTGGAGCCCGACCCCACCAAAAGTAGATCGTAGCCAACTTTTTCTTGTATCAGATGCCGTGTCTCTGATTTGATATCAAGCTCCTTGATCCATTTTGAGTTAACTTTTGTGCATGGCAAGAGAAAGGGATTCAGTTTCATTTTGTTGCATATGGATTTCCAGTTTTCCCAGCACCATTTGTTGAGGATGCTATCCTTCCTCCATTGCATGCTTTTAGCCCCTTTATCAAATATAATATAGTTGTAGTTTTGTGGATTGGTTTCTGTGTCTTCTATTCTGTACCATTGGTCCACCCGCCTGTTTTGGTACCAGTACCATGCTGTTTCTGTTACTATTGCTCTGTAGTATAGTTTGAGGTCTGGTATCGCTATACCGCCTGATTCACACTTCCTGCTTAGCGTTGTTTTTGCTATTCTGGGTCTTTTATTTTTCCATATGAATTTCATAATTGCTTTATCTATTTCTACAAGAAATGCCATTGGGATTTTGATTGGCATTGCATTAAACCTATAGAGAACTTTTGGTAATATTGCCATTTTGATGATGTTAGTTCTGCCTATCCATGAACAGGGTATATTTTTCCATCTTCTAAGATCTTCTTCTATTTCTCTCTTTAGGGTTCTATAGTTTTCATTGTATAAGTCTTTCACCTCTTTCGTTAGGTTGATTCCCAAGTATTTTTTATTTTTGAGGATATTGTGAATGGAGTGGTTGTCCTCATTTCCATTTCAGAGGATTTGTCGCTGATATACAGGAATGCCTTTGATTTATGCGTGTTGATTTTATATCCTGCCACTTTGCTGAATTCATTTATTAGCTCTAATAGTTTCTTTGTAGAGCCTTTTGGGTCTGCTAGGTATAGAATCATGTCACCTGCAAATTGTGATAATTTAAGTTCTTCTTTTCCTATTTTTATGCCTTTAATTTCTTTCGTCTGTCTAATTGCTCTGGCCAGTGTTTCGAGAACTAATTTGAACAGAAGTGGTGAGAGAGGGCATCCCTGTCTTGTTCCAGATTTTAGAGGGAATGCCTTCAATTTTTCTCCATTCAGAATGATGCTAGCCTGAGGCTTAGCATAGATTACTTTTACAATATTGAGGTATGTTCCTGTTATCCCTAGTTTTTCTAGAGTTTTGAACATAAAGAGATGCTGTACTTTGTCGTATGCTTTTTTCACATCTATCGAGATGATCATATGGTTCTTATTTTTAAGTCTATTGAAGTGGTGAATAACATTTATTGATTTCTGTATATTGAACCAGCCTTGCATCCCAGGGTTGAATCCTACTTGATCATGGTGCATAATTTTTTTGATGTGCCTTTGTATCCGATTCATCAGAATTTTATTGAGGATTTTTGCATCTAGGTTCATTAGAGATATTGGTCTGCAGTTTTCTTTCTTTGAAGTGTCTTTGTCTGGTTTAGGAATCACGGTGATGTTGGCCTCGTAGAATGAATTTGGAAGTCTCCCTCTTTTTCTATTTCCTGAAATAGCTTGAAAAGTATTGGTATTAGTTCCTCTTTAAAGGTTTTGTAAAACTCTGCTGTATACCATCCGGTCCTGGGCTTTTCTTAGTTGATAGTCTTTTGATGGTTTCTTCTCTTTCCTCAATTGATATTGGTCTGTTTAGGTTGTCTATATCTTCCTGACTCAATCTGGGCAGATCATATGACTTAAGAAATTTATCGATGCATTCACTATCTTCTATTTTATTGGAGTATAAGGATCAAAATAGTTTTTGATTATCTTCAGTATTTCTGAAATGTCTGTTGTGATATTGCCTTTTTCATCCCATATGCTAGTAATTTGAGTTCTCTCTCTTCTTCTCTTTGTTAGCATGGCTAAGGGTCTGTGGATTTTATTTATTTTTTCAAAGAACCAACTTTTAGTTTTGTCAATTTTTTCAATTGTTTCTTTTGTTTCAATTTCATTAATTTCAGCTCTGATTTTAATTATTTCTTGCCTTCTACTTCTTTTGCTGTTGTTTTGCTCTTCTTTTTCTAGGATGTTGAGATGAAGTATGAGATCATTTATTTGTTGGTTTTTTTCTTTTTTTAAGGAATGAACTCCAAGCAATGAATTTTCCTCTTAGAACAGTTTTCAGTGTGTCCCATAGATTCCCATATGTTGTGTCTGTGTTTTCATTTATCTCTAAGAATTTTTTAATTTCCTCCTTGATGTCTTCTATAACCCATTGATCATTCAGTAACCTATTGTTCATTCTCCAAGTGATGCATGATTTTTCCTTCCTTCTTTTATCTTGATTTTCAGTTCCATTCCATTATGATCAGATAAGATGCATGGTATTATCTCTACTCCTTTATATTG